CTTCCCATTGATTCCATCGACTTGCACATTCCTCTGCAGGTAATACGCGGTCGTGTGACATTTCTTATGCTTCAGGAGTTTACAGAGTCCCTACATGATGGCATTCTCAAACGATAATCCACGGTAGGAGTGGAGAAGATTGGGTGCACCTTAGGAGCAAACTCAACCAATTAATAAGGCACGGGCTACCACTGGAGCGCAGGCGTCATGTAGTGGAAGGAGCTCAACCATTTTGGTGAAGAACTCCACCATGGCGAAGCTGAACTTATTGCCTATGACGGAGGGGCAATCGGCCTAACGGGATCAACGCCTACCCCCTCATTGACATAACCTATCCTAATCGACCACAGGGGCGCTCTTATGAACTGTTGGTGTGGCTTAGAACTGAGACATAATGCACATGCCAGAATCCTTCCCTGACTGTCACGATTTTGGTTCGGCCAATAATACTGACGATGGACGAGCTATATTGGTAATCACACTGGCTCGCGGCTCATAGTAGACACCGTACGCATTCCAAAGCGGTAGGTGTTCTTGCCAGGTTCCAACTTAACCGCGTGTGCACGCAGCCCTTACGAGTCATTCCCACGCTATACGACCGGTCTAGTCATGCATAGTGCGCGTGATGACACGCGCAGCTGCGGCCAGGCGGAGGACTCTAACACGCTAGCTGGAAGACTCGCAAACCTAATGCAGTCGCTCCTTTTATTGAGACCACAAACTGTTTAGTCTAATCTTGTACGCTTTGCTTGCCACAAGTACGCTGTACTAGGTATGCAAAAAGACTTCTACTTTGCACTCCTCTTGTTATATTCTTCTTTGGAGAATCACACACTTATAGAGCGATATCTCGGCTTTTTGGCTACAGTTACAGCAGTTCTTACAGGAAGACATTCCTTGTGGGGACGATGCGATTCCCCAGAAACGGCATCCGCATTTCCATGTTGACGGCTGGCTCGGAACAAACAAGGAATGTCATATTCCCCTAGCTTTTCTGCCTCCTAGTGACCTACCCATCTGGATTCTCAAAGATATGCAGGCATTTAATGGAAGTGTGATATATGCTCACGATAAGAGTCAGTGCCAGGATCTACTTTCGCGGGACATATAAGCGTCGCTCTTCTTTCGTGATCGACCGACTCAATAACTGGATGATGCGCTTGGTACCCTCTTGTTGCTGCTGAGAAATAACAGCGATAATAGCGGTGTTGCTTACATATGTGTATAGCACGAACTTTCACGCATCGTCATCAATGTTAGGAAAGACTAGAATAGGGCAAAAATTATTTTAAAAAAATCAAATTCTCGAATTTTTGCCTAAAAATATCGCCTCTCAGCATGGTTCTTTTTCCTATGTTTCCCTAACTTTGCCCATTCCCTTCGTAGTAAGCAGTAAACACTGTTTGGTAGTTACTTTATCCTTAGAAAAACCTTCGACAAAATCCCGCACATAGGCCTTCTAGTGAAACTGGAAGTCTTCAGCATTAAGTTTCACATCTTTGGCTTCACTGGTGCCTAAAATTCTAACCACAGCCAGAAGTTCTTAAGAGATAATAGCTATTCAAAGCCTCAACTGATAACGAGTGGTGTTTTCAATGCACACTCTTGGGTCCCAATTCTATACATAAGTGAAATGTCAACAGTTCTCAAAAATATACACAAGTTCAGTCAAATAAATAAATACATACATTGTACGTTTTCGACCAAGAGAGACATGTCATTACAAACTTAGTCTATCTTGGATGGCCTGAACTAGCCTCGCGTCATACTGTCGCAGCGAGTGCGGTCTGTCTTATTCGAGATGAAGTCGATATATTTCATTCGAAGGGCGGTCCTCAGGAAGCGATGGTCGACTATTCCCAGTTTTCACTTATCTTCC